GTGTAAACAACAATATTCTTTATGATATTAATCAAAATGTAAATTTGAAATTTGAACTTTTTAAAATCAAAAGACAGTTAACACCAAAAATTGTTTACTTAATATTTTAGTTTTATGCAAAAATCAGATATAAATAACATTTAGTATCCATCAAAGARACCAATGAGAAAGTAAAATTAATATATTTTCAAATTTCAAAAAATACAAAATGTTAGTTCAAGACAAAACAGAATATTTCAATTGAGGAAAAATATCGAATAATTTATTGATAAATAAGAACCCATATTATTTTTATCGCTATATATCAAAAATTGATATCATCATATTCGCGTTTTAGAAATACAGTTATTGTAAGTATATTGGTAGAAGAATTCCAGGTAGCCTTTGACATTTGTTTGTGCACATTATGTGGAAAAGGCACATGCAATCTATACTTAGGACTGCGGATATCAACAGCGTCTTCTGTTATATCTGTACAAATGCCTGGCATGCGGTCTCCGGGCATTTTTACTTCAATCACCATCGCTTCACAACTAGAAGTAAGTGGAGTCTTTGGACCCATCTAAAAATAAATTATAAACGTTGTTTAAATGTCGAATGGTTTTCGTAAGGTAAGCAAAATATAAAATTGTCAAGCAAAAATATTTATTGCAACATGGCATTTTTTAATTAATTTATATAATAAAATGTATAAGTTGCATTTAAAATTCAAAATATTATTTAACATCTAAGTATTTCATTATTTCAAATTTACGAATAATTTGATTGATAGAGGTTTGGATTCATTTAATTTAACTATAATTTAACAATTTTTGACAAAACTAAGTTATTTTCAGGACACATAGAACAACATCGTTTGCGTTTAGATTTATATTTTTTGTATAAGATTTTGACTGACACCTGAAATATTGACTATCCTGCAGAATTTGAAGTTCGTTATTCCTTCAATACTGATATTACTAAGTCTAAAAATAAATTTTATCTTAACACAAGTAATAACTTATTATGTAGATATAAAATACCACCTCTGCAATCTCTAACCCCTACCCTAAAATCGAACTTATTCAACACATACAGAAATTAGTACCTGAAACAAACATCCCCATAATTTCATGTGGGTCCCCTCACACATTGGGATACCAGGAAATGAAAAATCAGACACATCAGCCTATGAAGCCATTACATCTCCACAGTCCATTAAAATCAACTCCTCTTCCTTATTTGAAATCTTCGGCATAATACATCGGAAAATAATGGAAGAATGGCAACTTTTTTGTGAAAATATTCCCCTCACCAACAAACTGAGAAACACAAAATTACTCGTCAAGAAATTAAACTATCCTCCCGGCACAAAAAGAAAAGACGAAGTAACCGTCACTCGAGCCAAAATAGGCCACTCTTACTTAACCCATGTAGATCTCATCAAAAAAGAACCAGCACCCATATATGATACTTGCAACGTAACTCTATCAATTGAACATATCGTAACCGCCTGTCCCAAATACACTGAAGCACGCAAGATACTCCAAAATCTTGCATCACTCTATCAAGCCTTCAAAGATGAAAACACAGCTGCAATTATTACATTTTTCCATAATATCAACACTAAATACCCATTATAAATAATAACTATAATAATGTAGTAAAATGTATTCCAAAATTTAATGTACACATATATATATTTTCTTTTCTTTTTCTTGTATACAATTTCATTATGGTAGGCTAAAAACCTGTGTTTTTGAAGCCTTAATAAACTACAAAAAAAAAAAATACCACCTCACTAATAAAAACCATAWACGATCAAAAATTTGATTTATTTACATATATGATATATCATCAAACGTTGACTCATTTAAAATACATAGTAATTTCATACTTGTTTATTCATATAGCCATTTTATATTATTTATTAATGTATTTCATTATTTCAATGTTTTGGGCACGGGCT